GTGGGGGTGCTCGTGAGGCGAAGGAACACTTTTTTCGTGGCGAGGGGTATAGATGCCACGTGGCCACTCCGGCGGTGTGGCACGCGATTTGGTCAACGGATATGTCCAAGTGTCCTACACAATTGGCTTCTGTCGTGCAGGCCTTGCAGAGTCTCCCTCTAGGTCATCCCTCTTTTCAACGGCCACCTCTTCGTTTTCCCGATGACGTCGTTCCGTCGCCCCTGTCGACCGCTGCCCCCTCGCAAGTGGCGCCATCTCCATGTGCACCACTTGCTCCCTTTCCCCCTCGTCCGCTTCGTCAGACGATTCCCGCATCCGTTGATGGCAGACCATCTGTGGCAACGCAGCCTGATGCGCAAGGCACCGTGCCAGTTTCAGGTGTCGGGGAACCTGTGTCGTTCGACGAGCAAGGCACTCGTGCTTTCGTCGAGGGCGGTGGGTGGGGGAAGGACGCTGGCACATCATCAGGCCTCGCCCCGTTGTTCACTGGCAACAGGGACAAGGTCCCAAGAGTTCGACGCRCAGACACACGTCCGRCYGTGGCAGGAGCACCCGCAACAGGACATCAATCCGCTGCGTATCCATGGTTGCCTCCCCCTCCTTCGCAAACACGACGGCCTACACCAGACTTGACTTCGACACCTGTTGGCGAGGCCGCTGCAACTGCCACTGAGGGTGCGGGAAACGTCCAGCTCGACGAGCCCGTCCAGGTTTCGGATTCGTCACCCACTCCTGTGCCCGTGAACGGCCCGACCTCGCAGCACGGTGTTTTTGGGACACTGGATCCTTTACAGAATCTGCGCAACATTGCAGCTCCGAGTCCAGGCCCCACCGCATCACCTGCAGCCGGGGGCGGGGTGTGGGATTCGCTAGGTATGGGCGCCGGTGCACGAGTGAGGGGCACTTACAGGCAGCAGGCGGTGACCTCGTATTACAACGACCCGYTGRAGCACGCATGRCACCTGCAGATCATGCGATTCATTGTCGAGAGCGGCATGCYGTTCAACTGTGTGAAGCTTGAGAGCTTCAAACGCATGTTGACGTTGATCATCCCGCCTGGGGTTCCAGGWGTCCMYACCCCAAAAMMCCCAAYGTATCACATGATCCGTACCACACTTTTGGATGAGCTTGATGTGGAAGTCCAAAAGTGTGTGAAACCTGTCCTCGCTACTGCAGCTACCTAYGGTTGCACGATAATGACAGACGGTTGRACSAACATTCGGGGCCAAACGTTGTGCAACTATCTCGTCGGCACKACACGGGGTGCCACATACGTCGCGACAGATGTTATGCGAGGAAAGAAGGATGCCACTGCTCTGGCGCAGGCTTGGCTGCGAAGGTTGAAGTCCCTTRACATCAAGCTYGCYGACATCACCGCTTTCGTCACAGACTCTGYCAGTTCGAACGTTTCTGCGATGGAGGTGTTCCAGAAGGATGAGAGTGTCAAGCACATCTTCTGGATTCCTTGTGTGGCACACGTCATGGACCTCATCCTTGAGGACATCGGCGRCATTGACTGGGTGGCGACCCGCATTGCTCAGGCGCGTTTGGTCACAAAGTTTTTCAAGCGTCATAGCCACGCTCGCGAAGTTTTGCAAGCTTTCACGACGAAGGCTCTGCTGCTTCCCGCCGAGACTCGCTTCGGTACGCATGTGATTATGATGCGACGACTTCTTCTGCTGCAATCGCATCTTATGCAGGTGGTCGTTGATGATCGATGGAAGGACACTGTTTGGTCAACGAAGAAGATTCGAGACGACGCCACGGAGGTCACAGCATCTGTCGGTTGTCCTCAATGGTGGGAGGATATGAGAGCGCTGTGCAAGTTGTTGGATCCCATCATGTATATGCTGCAGATGGTGGACAGCAACACGAGGCAGATTGGCAAGATTCTGCGTCGGTACGACGAGATGATCACGCGTTGTTTATCTGCATGTGACGCTTTGGAGAAGGACGAGCAGGACGCGTTGCTTGAAGTGTTTGACAGACGCCGCACCATGTTCAAGTCGCCTGCTCATGTTGCTGCCATGATGTTGGACCCCGAGTTTCGAGACCGCACGATGCCAGATGACGAGGAGATGCAGCACGGTTTGAAACTCGCTGTGATTCAGTTTGGGTACCCGGAACATTCGGATCAGCACACCGAGGTCCTCACTGCCATTGACAAGTTCCATTCCAGGGAGCCGCTGTTCGACGACGTGGCCATGGACCGGGCGGCGAGGAGCTATACCCATCCAGCCTGTTTCTGGGAGTCGAAGGAGAAGAGGTTCCCGCACACAGCCTTCTTCGCTGGCAGGATACTGCGTGTGTAGGCGACTGCGTCGCCTTGCGAGAGAGCTTGGTCCCGTTGGAGTTTCATCCACTCCAAATCTCGTAACAGATTGGAGGTGGCGCGGGCCGAGAAGCTCGTGCGATGCCATTGGAACCTTCGGCTCCTCGACAGGCAGGCTATGTCGGACGATGCTCCTAGTGACAGGCCACATCCGTATGGGAGCTGGGTGCACTACTGGCAGCAGGTGGAGGAGGAGGTGCCCACTGACCAGCAGCTTGTGGCAGACTGAGGAGCCCGTGTGACGGTCACAAAGGAGGAGTTGACGCAGGCGAGAGAGAGGATGCGCGTCGTGTCCCGCATGGGAGCCACTCGTCGCTTGCGGGAGTCTGACAGGAGGAGGTGTCGTGGCGGCGGTCGCGGAGGTGGTCGTCAGGGCGGTCGCGGGCGAGGCGGGCGTGGAGGTCCTGGCAGGAGGCGTAGTGTCGCGAGTCGTGGAAGGGCAGTGGACGAGCTAGTATGCAAGCCTCGACAACGATGGGATGAGGGAGACTTTTTGTACRAGAGCTSGTYCAGCGATGACGAGGATTTCTTCGGGAYTGGCAGGCCTGCACAGGATGGCGACAGCGATTTCGACGACCGTCACCCGAACGTGGGCGACGACGATGGCGCCAGTGGCGATGATCACGGTGACGGAGGAGATAGGCCACGACCTGCACATGGTGACATGATGCGCGCCGACGGGGCAGGGGGCGAGCACCGCACAGCAKTAGATGACGCTCGAGATGGAGTGCATGATGATGGTTCACGACCTRTCTCGGGCGGTGACCTGAGGCGCTTGAAACGCGGACCAAGGGAAAAAGACACTATCGCTTCACGTGTGCGCAAACGTCATGGTGGGGTTGCTAGCATTCCACTATCACGAGTCCCCGCAACTGGGCAGATTCCAGTTTCTGAGGACTCTTTCAGCAATCACGGTGGCGAGGATCGGATCGAGTTGCATGGCGGGAGCGGTCATCCACGAGGTGACACTTCGAGTATGCACGCGACAGCTCCGATGGGGCCTTCCGTAGCAGTCCCAGAATCGCAACAGGGTCCAGCACCGTTGATGCGTCATCCCGAGGTTCAGGGAGAGATCAGTCCTCTCCCGACAGTGCGGGACGAGGGTTCTGTCGGTGCACTGCATCCACTCACGTCTGCCGGAGCGGCAGTTTCAGTTGCAGCGACCTCGGATGTGGGACAACCACTGGCAGCGGCGGAGCAAGAAAGTATGCTCCCACCTCGYAGTGTTCAACCGCGGCCACCGCCTGCATTGATGGAGGGGAGTCAGGGGACCGTTGTTGTGTGTCAAGGCGACAATCTCCTGGAACGTGATATTTCACACACTCCCGCAGCCGAGCAGAGCGCCGCAGACCATGTCGGCCTCGCATGTCCCACCGGCAGTCTTCCGGGTACCGGACCATGGACTCTGCGATCATTTCTCTACCGGACTTGTCGACGTTGATATCCCCAGGTCTACCCTATGTGTCACCGCCCAAGCCACAACAACCTGTTGTCATGGAGCGTGGATCGGACGGGTTTGACGTGGCAGGAGGCGATATGGCCGATATGATTACGAGCCCAATGGTGTCTGCCACGCCCACAATTTTTCGTGTTGGCAAACTACGCGAGGTGGCCCTTGGTTTGGCGGAGACGGCGACGCGACACCGCCGCGGCGGTCAGTGCAGCATCGCACAATGCAGTCTTTGTCATTCGTTTGACGGCGCAGAGGAAGGGTCTCCTGGTGGGCCAGTTGACACACTCGAAAGAGAAGCAAGACCCCCAAGTCCGCCGTCAAACTYAGAGCATCATCCGATTGCCGCGGCTATCGGCGCAGATGCGGGCGTCCCCGTCACAAACAGTGGCGCGGACGCGACAGAACAACTTGTGGTTGGGTCATCGGCGACAGCACGGCGCGACAGAGCCACTGTTTTGCCGATAGTGGCATTCTATGCCAGCGGGAAGAGTACTGGGGGGATGGATGAGCAGGGAGTCCGGAATGTTGGTAGGCCATCTGCACCGTCTATGGGGAAACGATCCATTGGGAGTGTGGATGGTGCTCGGCACACCGCCATGGCAGAGTTTGAGGACCGACACGGGAGTGCTTTGCCGACGAAGACGTCTGATGTCCATGCTACGAGAGCCGCAAAGGCGAGTCTTCCTCGGGCAAGGAAGAAGGCCTCGGCAAGGAAGGCGTCACGTTCATCCTCACATATGCGTTCCCGAGAGAAAGAATCGGGCGTTGTGCATCTCGAGGACGGAGAGATTGCACCCGACGGCGACGCATTGGATGTTGGAGGGAGGGATGCAACGACGGCGGATATCGTCGGCAGGGAGGGCACAGGGAATGCAGTGGCAGGTYAGAAGAGACGCGGCMGTGTACTTATCGTCCACGACGACAGCACAGATGTCRCCCCGGGAGAGACCACARRCACTGATGATGCAGGGGACTCCGATTACGTACCCAAACCACGRGCGGCAGATGGAGATGATGGAGGAGGGCGACGAGTGAGACCGAGGACACGACTCGGGCCACAAGGGCAGCGAGCATAGGGCACACCATCGGCGATGATTCCTGCCCCCATAGATCGGTGAGCTCAGGCGCAGCGGTTGCTGCGCAAAATGGAGGCCACTCTTCAACAGACGCACGGGTTATCGCTTGGCCGCGAAGAGACGGAGACTCAGAGACAGGGAGAGAGG